CCTCATGTGGCCAAAAGCCAGGAACTGTGAAGTGAAAACTTCATCTTCCATCTGATCTTCCGTAATTGCCTCTTGAACTCTCGCTGCTAGCTGGCGCCTGCTGGAATTCTCCAGAGCCAGGGGCACTCGGGTTATAACGCCGGTCTCTGGTGGAACAGAGCGGGTAGCTGGGCGCCCCTTGCCAGAAAGAGTGGGGCTTCTGAAACTGCCGTGTGGCCAGGGAAACCTGTTGCTACCTCAAATGCGGGTTCTGATCCTCTGGCAGAAAACCACAGGGACTTCCGTGCCAAGGCCCGGCTGCTTTCGAAAGATATTTTCAGTCCTTTTGCCGTGGAGGGGCAGCAGGAGCCTGCAGTTTAGAACGCACCTCTGCAGCTTGGAAGCTGACATTGGAAGGGCCAGGGTGCCGCTCAGAGGTGGACTCACCCTGCCCCGCCAAAAGAAGAAAAAAAGTGGGCATTTCTGGAAGCCTGTGTGCATAAAAGTTTAAAGCGAGTAAAGCTAGATGTGGTGACCCTCACCTGTAATCCTGGTACTATGGGAGGCTGAGGCAGGAGTATTTCTAGTTTGAACCCAGCCTTGGTGACTTGGTAAGAACCAAAAGAGAGAGTGGGGATGGAGCTCAGTGTGAAGGTTCTGGGTTCAGTCCCCAGGGAACAGGGGGAAAACACAGTTGAAACTAAAGAAGTCAGCGCCTGTGTCATCTCGGGCTTCCTCTAAAATTACTGTCCATAGGAATTCGGTCTTTCGAACTGTCGGTCTCACCGTGTGAGCTCGTTGTGGGCTCTTACATGCCTACAAGAACCGACGGGCTCGTGCGTGCGGATCAGAGGAGGAAGCCGGCGAGGCCCAGGATTTCTGAGAGACCGAGTCACGAGGAGCGCTGCGGACTGTGCCGAGAAGCAGCACCCCGTTAAGCGGAGCTGCAGAGTGCAGGGTCTCTTCCCGCTGCCAGCCTTCTCCCACCCAGACCGCTCAGAACGAGAAATCATCCCGAGAACGGGCTGCAGGCTGCGCTGGGAGCCAGGGGGTTTTTGTGGGTTTTGGGGGGTGCTTGTTCGTTTGTTTGTTCTGTTGCCCTTTTCCGTTGGCTCCGTCCTCTCCTTCCTCTCCTCCCTGGCCCCTCTGGGCCCCTTGCATAAGCAACGCTGTGACCAGTGCTCGGGCGGCCAGGAGCACACCGATCAATCGCCCTCGCAGCAGGAGGCAGACGGTGCTAATTGAACTCCAGAGTGGCCTTTCCTTTCCTTTCCTTCTTCTCTTTTATTTTTATTTTTTAGCGGTGCTGGGGATGGAACCTAGCATATGTTAGGCAAGTGCTCTGCCCCACTGAGCTATATGCTCAGCCCATTTAAGTGGCTTTTTTGTCTCGCTAGGTAGCCCAGCCTGGCCTCAGACTCACAGCAGTCCTCCTGCCTCAGCCTCCCGAGGGCTGGGATTACAGACAGCGGCGGATAGCGCTGCGGCACGGATCCGAGAGCCAGCCCATCGCCAGCCAGTCCGTCCCGCCCACCTGCCGTGTGCCTTGGGAACACATGCTGGGGGTGGGTCTGTGTTCCGTCTCCGGGCCCAGGGCAGAACGGCGTACTCTTGTCCTGCGTGACCATGGCTTCCCACGCAGCCGCGAGTTTGCTCAGCAGCTTCATTGAGATCCAGTTCGCATACCGTGCAGCCGGCCCAGTTAAGTGTGTACTTCAGGGGCTTTTCATATATTGACAGTTACCGTGCTTGGTGTTAGCGCCCCCGAGAAACCTCGTCCTCAGTAGCTGTTACCCCTCCGTCTCCCCAGTGCCGGGACGGAACCCCGGGCCCCCTGCCCGCTGGGGCTGCGTTCTCCCACTGAGCCACATCGAAGCCCCGAACAGCTGTTAATGTACTTGCTGCCCTTATGGGCCGGCTTGTTCTGGCCATTTCCTGTCTCGGTGGACCTGTACGGTACATGGTCTTTGTGTCTAACTTATTTTACTAAGCGCGTGCAAGCTTGTCCACGCCTTCGCATGTGTCTCTGCTGCCTCCCGTTTACGGCTGAGTGTTTTCATCGTGTGGTTTCACTGTATAGACGGTGTTGTACTTACCCAGTCCCCAGCAGGAGGACATTTGAGTTGTTTCCGCTTTGGGCCGCCGCGAATGGCGCAGCTGTGAACACCCCTGGGCTCATATTTATGTGCATGCATTTTCACCGCCTTTGGGCAGAATCCCCGGGGTATGGTAGTTGTGGTGAACTTCGTGAGGACCCGCCAGACTGTTTTCCAAAGCGCCGCATCATTTTATGTTCTCACCACGGCCTTCGTTTGGCGTCTGGTAGAGCAGTCGCCTGGCAGGCTCGTGGTCCTGGGCTTGATTCCCCGACACTGCAGAAACAGCAGCCGCCGCAAAGCACCCGGAGGAAGGAGAGCTGCAGCGGCAGAAGTGCTCCCCGCCTCCCGCCCCCGGCAGCTGGTGCATTCAGGGTGGCTGGGACTTGTTTTAACAAGGTCTGATAAGACACGCAAACACAGGACACGGCTGCTGCGAAGGAGGAGGCTTAGACTCTCAGTCTCCTGGGAGCAGGAGGCGTGACACACCACCCAGGGTCCCACAGGAAGCCGCGGGCCCGGCGGGGGCAGGAGGATGTGGGTCTGAGCCTCGACCGTGGTCTGAGACGTCTCAGCAGGCTCTGGGTGACTGGGGCACGGGAACCCTGGCCTGGAGCCTGAGCGCCTGGTAACAGGAGGTGCCTGGGTGTGGGCGCTGCTGGGCTGCTTTGCCTGTGGGAGGAACAGGTGTAAGTTATGGGGAGCTGACTCGCCCGCCTGCTACAGGGAGAGTCGGCTCGCGTCACTCCGTCCTCAGACGTGACTTCTCCCGGGGTCCTGAATCGCACACGGAACCTTCACCTCTGTTACCATAGCTGTACTGCTACCAGTCGTTCATTCCAGTCCCTTCCGGTCAGCCACGGGTAGGCGGTGTTTACGGCCACTTTCTTCCGTGGACCGTGAAGCTGAAGCAGACGCCATCTGAGTTCAGGTCGACCTCAGTGCGCAGGGGCGACCTGTCGGACGGCCCAGGAGACCGAGCAAAGGCTGCCTTTCAGGATCTGTTGCATATTTGCACGTTTAGGTCATAACTGCCAGGCTGGGCTTTAGCGTGGTGTAGAAATAGCTGGGAATGCCCCGCCCGGAACGTGTGGACTTGGCGTTAGGATTTCTGTCTTTGCTCATGGGTGTTCACGAACGAGTGACATCTTCACGGGCGTCTACTGCAGTCACAGTGATGGCCATTTGTTCACGTGACATCAGAGGAGGACATGTCACCCCTCTGTGCTGGGCTGTAGCGACAGATGAACGGCTGTGGAAAACACACCCAATGTGGTGTCACCGCGGACTCCCATCTTCGTTTATGAGCTTTCTTCTTCACTCCTCTGCCAGAAGATTTCAGTTACACCCTTTCTCAGTCTGCTTTCTGCTGCTATAAGATGACACCCGTCAGAAAGGACAGAGCTTTGTTGTCTCGTGGTCCGGGGCCCGAGAGGTCTGAGAGCCCGGTGCTGTGAGATGAAGAAAGCCAAGGAGGCTTGAAGTTGCTGTTGTAACAAGCTGGCCCATGACGGGGATCGGGAGGATTGATCCCCTCCTAAGGGCAAGACCGCCATGACCCAGTCCCGGGATTGAATTTCCCACACGTGGACCCCAGCCTTCTGCGTTCATCTCCGCTCAGGCTGTCCCCCCATGGAAGCTCGGGGTGGAAGGGCCTTTTCCACACCCCGTGCACTTCCAGCTGCCCATAAGCAAAGCTGCAGCCTCCTCCTTCCTGTAACCCGGAGCAGCCAGGAGCTGGGTGCACTGGCGCCCCAGAGCCAGGCTGGAAGACACCAGGTTTCCTTTTAATGCCACTGCCTGTCCTTGCCTGGAGCAGCCTCACGGTGCGATTCTCGCCCTGAGAAGGCAGTAGCTGGGCACTCTGGCGGTGGGGCCTGCTTCAGTGGCTGGCTTGTCCGACAGGCGAGGAGACTCAGCCTCAAATACGCGAGTGCAGGATGGCCGGGCTACGGTCGAGAGCTCCGTCTCTCGGGGCTGGGGTGCGGCTCAGGGGTGAGCACTGCTTAGCCTCACCTGCACCGGCCCTGGGATCCATCCCTGGCCCTGCAGCAGCAACAAAAAAGAAGTTGCCTTTTTCTGTCAGTAGGAGGCATTTGCACTAGTGGGACCGTGTACCTCCATCCGGACCCTCGCGTTAAACAGCAGACGGCTGTGAACGGTCCTTCAGGGCCCCCCGCTCGTGGGTTGGTTTCCAATCACCGTGTAAAATAGAATCAGAGCCTCCGGGGGGCGGTGATGGGGGAACTCTGCCCCAGTGCTAACGGGCTGCGAAGTGAGCGCGGTGCCGCCGTCCCCAGGTCTCCGCGGCGCCCTGACGTCCAGCCTCAGATTAATTACCGTCCGCGGTGTGGCCTGAGCCGCACCAAGCCCGGCGCTCCTGCTTCACCGTCATAGATTATTTACAGCGAACGCGAACTGCTCCGTGCCGCTCGCCCCAGTACTGGCCAAGGGCAGCGCAGGGGAGGTATTTTTTTTTTATTGTTTTACCAAAAGAGAAAATGCTGTGCGGTTTCCATGCTGAACGGTCACAGTGGGGACCAATTTCCTGCGCTCCAGCCGCGCCGCTTCAGCCAATACAGCAAGGGAGGGCGTCGCTGCATCTTCTAGAAGGATCCCACCGAGGCGTAAAAAGGAGGCGGCCGCGCCTGGCCCGGTGCTGAGTCCGGGAGCCCGGGGCCGCCATGGGGAACGTGCATTCTAAGGGTGGCGGCAGGCAGGAGGCGCTCCCCGGCCGGCCCGAGCTCTCTTTCTACGGCTCTTGCCCCAGGAAATGGAGCGAGAACGTCTTCCTGGATAAGGAGCTGCTGACCTCCAGGGTCCTGTCGGTGCTGCGGCCGCAGTCGGAGCGGGGCTTCCGCACGGGCGACCTCCGCTGCCCGGCCCACTTTCTCAGCTCCAACTCTGTCTTTGCCTCTGTCGCAGCCTCGATGAAGGAGCCCCCGCTGCGGGGCACCCTCCTGTCCGATGGCAGCCCGGCCCCGACCAGGACTGCGGTCGGCATGACAGTCGCACAGAAAGGGGGTCCCCAGCCAACGCCCAGCCCTGCCGGCGCCGGCACCGGAACCGGGGTGCGACTCGGGTAAGCCAGGAGCCCTCGCGCTGCTGTCGGGGCAGACGCAGGGCCGCCGCGGTGGGGGGCACCCCTCGGGGGTCTGGATGGATCGGCTCGGCCCCCTGGGTGAAATTCTCATTTACACTTGCTTTCCGGACGCCATAGGTTTTCTCTACCGAAAACAATGCGTCTAGAGCCGGTTCGCGTGAGAGACTTGGATCGCATTGGACAGGGCTCCCTGCTGTCCTCCAGACCATGCTAGGGGTCTTGCACGCCAATACCTGTGCCCTCCTCAGCTTCATAGGTTGTCGAGGGGGTCCCTCAATGTCTCAGTCAGCACCACTGGGGTGAACAGTGAGGCTGGAATGGCACTCCCACGAGTGTGCAGCAAAAGGAGCTCTTTGTCTTTCGTCTGCACAAACACTGACCTCCACCCCGGGATGGGAGGCCGGGCCCTGAATCCACACATGGGACCCTTCAGGCTGCGGGCACAGGAAGGGCCAGCACGGTTCCGCCCTCGGGCCGGACCTGAGCCCTCCGGGGGTCCTGATGGAAGGAGTCCTGGTGTGACGGCGGTCGTCGCCTTGTTTTTAAAGAGGACCTGTGCGGGTGAAGCCTCCCCTGGGACCTGGGACATTCTCTGGCTCCTCTCCCGCCAGCCACAGCGACAGACTGACCCGCCTTTGTGGACAGGGCGCTGAGCGTGCGTGCTCCGCCGGTCGTTTGAGATCATTGTTTTGATCGTTTCCGCCTAGACCACTCACAGGAGAGATGGATGAAGCCGACTCTGCGTTTTTAAAATTCAAGCAGGCGGCCGAGGACGCGCTGCCCCCCACGCCCTCCATCGCCGAGCCCGTCTTCGTGGAAGGTACGTCGCCACCTGCCGCCCCGCTGCACTGACCGGTGCCGGCCCCCTCGGTGTGCCCGTGCCGGGGACGCGGGCGCTGGGCAGCGAGCCGGGCCCCCCTCCAGCAGCCCCGTCTCCCCCTCAGACCCCTACACGGCCTCGCTGAGGAGCGAGATCGAATCGGATGCGCATGAGTTTGAGGCCGAGTCCTGGAGCCTGGCGGTGGACCCGGCCTACGCCAAGAAGCAGAAGAGGGAGGTGGTGAAGAGGCAGGACGTGCTCTACGGTAGGGTGCCAGGTCTCTGCTTTCTCTGACTCCCCGGGCTCCGGCTCCCTGGCCTTGCCCCCCACCCCGCCCGTCACCCTGCGCCCTGGGGTGCTTCCGGCCTGGGAAGAGAGGGCGGAGGCTTTGACACCCGAGTCCCCACAGAGGGGCCTGGCTGGTGCCCGGGCGGAGTCAGCCTCACCCGAAGCCCTCCGGGCTGTGGGGGCTGTCCGTCCCTTTGGACTGCTCTGACACTGGGGACAGGTGACTCAGAAACAGCTCCCGAGGTCTTAGAGGGGGAGCCCAAGACCCAGGCGCCAGCAGACGCGGCTCTGGGCAGGGCCGCTTCCTCCTTCCCAGGCGCCCCGTGTGCTCCCGAGGCGCAGGGCATGTGCGGCTCTGCAGATCCAAGCGGGGGCGCTCTGCACCTGCGCTATGTCCCCAGTCCTTTCCACCTTTTATTTTCAGAAAGTCTTGCTAGATTAACCAAGTTGGCCTCCAACTTACGATCCTCCTGCCTCAGCCTCCTGAGTGACTGGGATTTAGGGTTACCACCACAGCCATCTCGGGGTCTCCCCATCTGTGAGGATGCAATCTTCATAACCTAACCTCCTCCCAAAGGTCCCCCTCAATACCACGGCTTTGGGGGTGAGGTTTCGACTATGAATTTCAGGGGATCACAGACGGGTACAGATGTGTTGAGTTTCACACCCACGGCACTGCACAGGGCAACCTTCTTGTGAAAAGACCCTCAAATCTCCTCTGTCCACTTCAGGCGTGGGACCCTCCCGGGATGTTGTGGCCCTAGTGCATAGCCTGGGTCTGCTCTTTTCTCCACCCCTTCAGCCTGGGACTCCCACAGCACCGTGGGGGCGGGGAGACTTGGGCAAGGAGAAAGGACAAGCCAGTGTGTCCGGTTCATTTCACCTCACACTGTGGTCTCAGGACGCATCCATTTGCCTGCAGGTGACTCAGGCTTATCCTTCTTCAGGGCAGAGTAGTACTCCATTGTGTGTAAATGCATTTTCTTTATCCATTCATCTGCTGAGGGGCATACAGGCTGCTTCCAAGAGCAGCTATTATGAGTTGTGCAGCTATAAACATGGGTATCGCATGGTTACTCTTCCATGAGAAACTCATATATAGAGGGCAGAACAAACGATAGAGAACAGGAAATAGAAAGATGCATCTTTTTCAACTGAGAAGGGGAACAAGATGGAGGGAATGGGGAGGAAGGAGAAGAAAAAGGGACGGGAAAGGAGTGCACATGTGCTGTGTCCACGCACCGGCTCCACACAGGAATGCAATCTGTGTGCACTGCAAACATGGACTCACAAAAATTTAAAAAGGAAGGGGCTGGAGATTTAGCTCAGCGGCAAAAGCGCCTGCCTGACATGCGCAAGGTCATGAGTTCGGTTCCCGGTACTGGAGAAAAAACAAACAAACAAAAAAATTTAAAAAGAAGACAGGATAAAAGGCAGATACAATGTTGCGTGCCTGGGACAGTGGGGCGATCACTCATTGCTGCTACTCAGGAGGCTGAGGCGGGAGGATCATCTGAGCCCTAGGCATTCAAAGCCAGCCTGAGCAAAACAGCAAGATTCTATCTCCTTGTAAAAATTGTTTTAAAACTTTAAAAGGCCACTAGGGCCTGGGGATTTAGCTCAGCGGCACAGCGCCTGCCTGGCAAGTGCAAGGTCATGAGTTCGATTCCCGGTACCAGAAAAAGAAAAAGGCCACGGGGGCAAGGGCTGAGGTGGGCACTTCCCAAGCCACCCCAGTCACACAGCAGGCAACACCCTGGTCCCCACCGTGTGCCCGCAGAGCTGATGCAGACGGAGGCGCACCACGTGCGCACGCTGAAGATCATGCTGAAGGTGTACTCCAGGGCATTGCAGGAGGAGCTGCAGTTCAGCGGCAAGGCCGTCAGCCGCCTCTTCCCGTGCGTGGATGACCTGCTGGACATGCACAGCCACTTCCTGGCCCGCCTCAAGGAGCGCCGCCAGGAGGCCCTGGAGGAGGGCAGCGAGCGGAACTATGTCATCCAGAAGATCGGGGACCTCCTGGTCCAGCAGGTGGGTGCAGCTGTGACAGCAGGGGCCACACGCGTCCCCACCCAGTGAGGACACGAGGACGGTTCTGATTTATCATTCAGTGGTAGAGCACTTGCCTAGCGTGCATGAGGTCGCGGGTTCAAGTCCCAGTGACACAAGAAATAAAATAAAAATACAATACAATACAATATAGTACAGTACAGTACATTACAATCCCAAAAATGAAAAAACAGAGTCCTTGGCCCCTGGCTTCCACCTGCAGCTCCTACCCTAGGGGCAGAGAAGCCGAAAGAGCAGACACTCCTGTCGGAACTGTACCAGTTGCATCCTTCTATGCCTTTGTCTGCTTGTGTGGTTTTTATTTTAAGATCACAGCCGCTGCTTTGACAGAAGCATACTTCACTGCGGAGCCTAGGCCCAGCGGGCAGAGTGGGGGACGCCCCCACCCAGCCTCAGCCAGCTTGCCCGAAGCACCCTCCGCCCGCCCTTCTGGGGCTGGGCCGCTGGTGCGGCCCGTGCCTGGCATGGTGAGGCCCTGGGTTCCATGCCCAAAACTCAACAACAACAACAAAAAAGTGAAATTAGAATTAGCTAAAAGAATAATAGCACTTTGACTTTTTATTTTGCTAACATCCTTTGGCTTAAGCTTATTTATTTTATTCTTGGATCTCACAAAACTTTCAACTATAAAGTTTTCAGTACAAGGGAGGCCCGGACCCCTGGGTCTGCGTGGGAACCAGGCACGTGAAGTTTCGTCTGTATTTAGAGCCCAGAGGCGGCCTTGGATTTTTCCGGGAGGGCCCCCTCCTAAACCCCAATGCCGCTCTGGACTGCGCATGCGTGGGACCCAGGGCGCGCATGCTCCTTTGGATCGTCCTGAAACCATTGATACGCGGTGCGGGAAAGCTTGGAGCCCGCGGGATGTAGCGAAAGCCCCAACGCATAGAATTATGTCGTTTCACCTCGACTGTACTTTGGGGTTAAACACCGTCCAGCAGCATGCCCCCGATCGAGTATGGGTGAGGTGAAATCGCAAGCGGATCCAGTCTTTATTTCCGCACAGCCTGGTAAACTAGACGGAGACACACCTTGCTGATCTTCGTGTGGCGCTTCGGTGACATTTCCATCTTCTTTGCCTTTAGTTTTCAGGCGAAAACGGGGAGAGAATGAAAGAGAAATACGGTGTGTTTTGCAGCGGCCATAACGAAGCAGTCAGTCATTATAAGTTGCTGCTGCAGCAAAACAAGAAATTCCAAAACTTGATCAAGGTAAAAGAAAAACAGTAATTTTTTTTTTTAATTAAAAATTTTTCTTCGCTGTAGGTTTTTTTCCCCACAGAACTGTAGCATGTTGGAATTGGGAAAGTATAAGAGGTTGTAGTGGGCTGGGGATTTAGCTCAGCGGCAAAAGCGCCTGCCTGGCAAGTGCAAGGTCGTGAGTTTGGTTCCCGGTACCGGAGAAAAAACAAACAAACAAAAAAGAGGTTGTAGTGATTTTCACCAGTTTTGCTTTCAATCACAAACCGACTCAGAACACGTCGGCGAAAGAAACCCGAGATGAAAATAAGTCCACGTAGCTGGGTGTGAGGGTGCACACCTAGAGTCACAGCACCCGGGAGGCTGAGGCGGGAGGATCGCTGAGTGTGAGCCCAGCCTGAGCTGCGGTGTCCCAGAAAGGACACTCAGTCCACCAGCTGTCACTCTTTCAGCACCCTAGTTGGTTCCAGGCACCGGAGCAACTCTCCCACCTGGTTTTTGTTCCCTGAGTGCATTGTTTCAGGGTGGCGGCTCACCTATTAAAGGTCTGAAGTTAAGAAAGCTGTGCCCCAGCTACTCAGGAGGCTGAGGCAGGAGATTGCTTGAGCCCGGGAGTTCCAGGCCAGTCTGTGTGAAACAGCAAGACCCTGTCTCATAAACACAGCCAAGTGTAGGGCTGGGGATATAGCTCAATGGCATAAGCGCCTGCCTGGCAAGTGCAAGGTCGTGAGTTCAATTCCCGGTACCGCAAAAAGAAAAAAATAGCCAAGTGTGGTGGTGCACACTTGTAAGGCCAGCACTCTGGGAGGTTGAGGCAGGAGGATCGCAAGTTCAGGCGCAACCTGGGCAACTCAGCAAGACCCAGTCTCAGAATGAAATGAGAGCTGGGGATGTAGCTCAGTGTAAAGACCCTGGGCTCAATCCCCAGAGCCCCCCAAAATTAAAGAAGTGATGTCCCTTTGCAATTGCCTGCATTCTTAGTGACAGCCCAGCAGTGGGGGCAAACCCGCAGAATGTGCGGCCTGCTCCTTGGAGCTCAGGAATAGCCCTCAGCCCGCCAGGAAATGAGTCCAAGTGGCAGCGGCCCTGGCTGTCAGCCCGAGGTGTGTGCGTGCCCGCCATCAGGGAGCCAGCGCAAGGACGGAGGCCGTGCCCGGGCTCGTCCGCAGGGCCAGGGGGCGGGAGCTGTGGGCAGGGTTCAGGGCTTGCTGTGCATGCACGCGGGCACCGGACAGCCCGCAGCCGTTCTCGGAGCCTCCCTGTGACTCTCTCGGTCCTCCTCACGCGGCTTTGCAGGGGCCCCTTTCACACTCAGGAGAGAGCCCCTTCGCTCGTGTGGCCTTCTGTGTACAGCAGGCGACCCCTGCATTCAGGTGTCCAGCGAGTGGCCCCACAGATCAGCACAGGAGAGGTCCCGGCAAGCTGAAAGGAAGGGAGCCCCGCCCGCCCCGGCTTGGACGCTGATGGTTCACTGACCCAGCGGGCAGTGAGAGGCTCACACGAGGCCTTCTGTTTTCTGGTTCGTAGAAAATTGGCAACTTTTCCATCGTGAGGCGGCTGGGCGTGCAGGAGTGTATTCTTCTCGTCACTCAGCGCATCACCAAGTACCCGGTGCTGGTGGAGCGCGTCATCCAGAACACGGAAGGTAGGGGGCGCCCCGCCGCCCGGCCTGTTGGGCTGCAGCGGGGCCAGGGGCCCAGACTCGGCCGAGGGTTGGGTCAGTTCCCCTTGGGATCCACTGTGCTGGGTGCCGGGTTTCCCGACAGAGAGGTGAGGTGTTCGACACCATGAAGGCAGGGACTAGGTGTGGTGCTGCACACCTGTCCTCCCAGGAGCCCTGAGGCCGAGGCAGGAGGATCACAAGTTCACAGCCAGCCTGGGCTACACTGCAAGTGTAAGGCGGGCCTGGACTACTTGGTGAGGCCCTGTCTGAAAAATCAGATGAGAAGACAGGGACTGTTTCTCCTCCGCTCACCAGACTCACTGCCCCTAGCTCAGCCCTCACCGGAAGAGGCCCAGGTCAGCCTCTATGGCTCAGATAGATGGAGTGAGCAAGGTGGTTCCTGAGTTACCCAGACAGGCCAGGATGGCCTCCATGTCGCATGCCCAGGGGCAACAAAGAACTATTCCTGGAGCCGAGCTGGGCAGAGCAGAAAGGGTACATGGCCTGCCCAGGGCTCCTCCAGGGCCAGGCAGGAGGGCCACACCGGCCACATCACCAGTGGAGCCAGACCGTAGGAGAGCAGGAAAGCTCCCAGCCCTGTCCGTGGAGCAGGGGAGGCGCCAGCTCTTGGTCACAGCAGGAGGTGGAGGGAGTCTTGCAGGAAGAGCTGGAAGAGTGGAGGGGTTGTGTGCCAAGGAGCGGCAGGAGGAGCTGTGCAGGACAGTTTTTGCCACTTGAATCACGCCTTGGCTTCTGCATGCAGTGGCTCTGCGTAGGTAAAAACTAAACTCTGGGCCACTGCGTTGATTTTGGAGGCCATTTCCATCTCAGGGATGAGAGCTGGGAGGTCGTTATGGAGGGTCCCCAGGACAGCGGCCCCAGGGAATGCACCTCACAGATCCCCCGTACATAGCAAATCTGTGCGTGCTATGTGACCGTGTGTGCGTGGCAGCTGGCACCGAGGACTATGAAGACCTGACCCAGGCCCTGGACCTCATCCGGGACGTCATCTCCCAAGTGGACGCCAAGGTCAGCGAGTGGGAGAAGGGCCAGCGCCTCAGGGAGATCGCAGGCAAAATGGACCTGAAGTCCTCCAGCAAGCTCAAGAACGGGCTCTCCTTCCGCAAGGAGGACATGCTGCAGCGGCAGCTCCACCTGGAGGGCACACTGTGCTGGAAGACCACATCGGGGCGCTTGAAAGGTAAAGCTCTGTCCTGGACCTCCTCCAGCAGCTGCCATGTTGGCGTGGTAGCCACTGCCTTAGAATGGCGGGCGCCATCTTGAATTGGCAGACACCAAGTTGGATTGGTGTGTTCTCCTTTGGAGTGGTCAGTCCCGTTTTGGAATGGCGAACACCGCGTTGGATTGGTGGGCACTATCTTGGAGTGGCGGGCGCCATCTTGGAATGGCAGACGCCATGTTGGATTGGTGGGTTCTGTCTTGGAGCAGTGAGTGCCTTCTTGGAATGGTGGCACCATTTTGATGTGTTGTATACCATATGAGATCACTGGCATTGTCGGGAAGTAGCACACTCTGGGAATGGTGGGTACCATCTTGGATCAGCAGGCGCTCTGTTGGATTGGTGGGTTCCCCCTTGGAGTGGTGGGTGCCATCTTGCATTAGTGGGCATCATCTTGCATTGGTGGTTATTATCTTTGACTAGTTTGTATCGTCTTGGGCCATCAGACCCCATCTTTGATTGGTGGGCACTATCTTGGATTGGCACCAAGCGGGATGGTGAGAGTATACCTGACCAGGCAAGACCTGACCCCCAGCCTGCTGGGGCTTGAGTCAGTGGAACAAAAAAGAGAAACAAACAAATAAAAAGAAAAAAAAAACTTTAAATGCAGTAAAAAGCTTTAAAAGAACCAACAGGCTGCAGTGAGAGAGAACTGGATGGAAAACGATCCCTGGTGTAGACAGGGTGATCAGAAGTGGGTCCCTACTGGGCATGGTGGCATACAAGGACCAAGGCACTGAGAGGACCCAGGGCACAAGGGGCGGGGCCAGCTCTCCCTGCATCACCGAAGCAGGAGGCAGAACATAGGCGTGCAGTGGCTCAGGTCCCAGCTACCCAGAGCAAGGAGGCTAGAAGGGCCAGCCCGCAGCAGGAGACCAGCCGGAGCAGCCTCAAGGCCGGGCCTTTCCAGGGAGAACCTCCACCTGCCGAGGCCTGACCAAAGCACAGGAACTGTGGTTTAGCTCTGATCGCCTTGGTTGCTTTTGTTGGTGTTTTTGTTTTTGTTTTTTTTTTGAGATGGGGTCTCACTGTGTAGTTCAGGCTGGACTTGAGCTATGTAGCCCAGGCTGGCCTCAGCCTTGCGGTGATCCTCCTGCCTCAGCCTCCCGAGTGCCGGGATGATGAGCACCAGCTCAGCCTGCTCTGAGCGGGAGCCACTGAAGGGATGATGGGGGAAGCGTCACAGCCCTCACTGCGCTCAGCGTTGAAACCCAGAAAGGTGCTGGGTGGGCTGAGTTAGGAGACGTCTAGGCTTGGGCAGAAGCAGTGCGGGGCAGAAGCAGCGCGGGGCAGAAGCAGCGCGGGGCAGAAGCAGCGCGGTGCCGAAGCCGGGCTGCCCTTTGAGAGGTCTCCTCCTGTGCCGTCTCAGCAGATGTCCTCGCCGTGCTGCTGACTGACGTGCTGCTGCTACTGCAGGAAAAGGATCAGAAATACGTCTTTGCTTCTGTGGTACGTAGCCGCATCCTCGCGCAGAGGCCTGGGGTGGCGCCGCAGGCTTGGGTACCCAGGAGGTCCCAGCCCCGACCCGCTGCACTTTCACACCCAGCAGGCACTCAGGTCCTCACGAGCCCAGAAACTTTGCCAGGAAAACCCCTTTCTTATTTTTTGTCTTTTTCTTTTTTTTTTTTTTTTTTTTTTTT